GAAAGAGAGGGGTCTGGCACTAATCATTAGTGCCAGACCCCTGGTAGATCTTTCCCGATTCGTCTCAAATCTTCTTACGTACCGAAACACGCGAGGCCCGTAGCCCTATAACAAGAGCTAATGGAATAACATCAAGTCAAGATGGACTGTTCTTACCATAAATCCAACCGACAACAATCGACTCAAATATCATCAGAAACAGTAATGAGATTCCAGCAGAAAAGGAATCAAGTAGGATGAACGCGTATATACCGCCCTGAAAATATATTAAAAGAGATTTCAATTATTTTAAATCTTTCGAACATTTTTTTAATCATGCGAGTTTTGAATTTGAGCTCATCATCAACAACTAAACCCTTTGATCTCTAAGAGTAACTAGCGTCTAACTTCTCCAAAGAAGTTCTTGATTACTAACCAAATTCTCCTTGTCGACACCTTGAGAAATGTATAGTGAACAGTATGGAGAATATGCATACTGATGTTACGGTGTAAAGGGTTAAAGACGAAACCTTGTGGGTGGGTTGCGACTTCCCGAGAATTTAAACATCACTGCTTATGGTCGAAGTGAAGTCGGACGCAGATCTTCAAGAAACATGGTGTACTGTGTCAAAAGACATTAAAAGGTTTGAACGGGGGCAGGGGGCGAGGGGGAGGGATAGCATTTGATCCTGTAGTCTGATCGTACGGGTAGGGTAAGTCCCGGGTAGGACTGTTGTCGGTAGTGGTGAATGACGGTTCGGCAACTTTAGCAGAAGTCATCATCAGAGTCGAGGGAAGTTATAAGTGTGGTTCCTGTGAACTGATTGGTCAGTTTAGGTCGTTGAAACGTCTGTCACAGCTGACAACGGTCCTTCTCAGGAGACCCTCACCTGGGGTTACAAAGTGTTGTAGGGATTTCAGAAAAATTGCAACAAACCAAGTTAATTTACACACGTTAAATTCTCACCTGTGTTACACAAGGTAAACCCAAAACAAACATGATCAGGCACACGGTCAAAACAACAGCTTCCCTGTATCTGTGTAGCAACTCAGGGTACTGGCCAATGATGGCGGCCGCTACTATTTCTACTGGTCCAAACTGAAAGTTTCGAAGAGAAAAAGACACTACAGCCAACATAAGGACGTAAAAAACATGATTTAAAGCTTTTTCTGGTGAAAGAGCGTATTTTTTTTTATTTAAAGGCAACCTAGTTTAATTTACTCCAAGATTCTAGCAAGAGGCCAGTACAGTTAGATTTAACTCCAAGCTTTCTACGAGCGATTCAGAAAATCTAAATGTACCAAAACCTTACGAGACAGCTCAGAAATGATGATTATAAGTGTAGCCAGAGTAGCCAGTTTCCAAACTAACCCAGATCTTAAGCGTGTGAAAACACATATGACTAAATCGCGATCGGTAACTTTACTCGTATCTGATTGGCCGAGCCAGAAAGCCCACGCAGCTCCTAGAACCAATTACCTGTTTTCTAGCCAAACGCCTAAAGACGCTCATGATTCGATCACAATTGGTAACTCTATCTCGTTTCTAATTGGCTGAGCCGGTGGGGCCATGCAGCTTGTACAACCACTTGTTTTCTTTGTAGAAATTGCTTAAACTGATCGTTGTCGACTACAAATCTTGCACAATGAAAACACAAGTCATTGATTTCTTGAACCCTACGTAAGATTCAATTTTCTACTTAGTTTCCCGTCGCTGATGTTCATTCAGTTAAAACTGGTGTAACTAAATGTTTTTCTGGTGTGAACAGGACATAAGATAGCTTTAGCTTACTTGACTATCGAGACCAAGGGTTATAAGCATGAGAAAGAAGATCACAGACCAGATCTGTGGTGCGGGGAGCTCTGCAAAAGTGACTGGGTAGACAATGAACACCAGACCTGGACCTTCAAGTTAACGAACGATTACGGCCCATTATTGATGTACATTGCTTTAAACAACCTGCATCAATGATGGATTTTAACCCAGTTATATGCATGTAACCATGGTTTCTTACAAAAATCTGCAAGGTGGGTTTTATGTAGGTTTCGCCCCTATGTAAGTTCGCCCTCCTACCGTTCGCCTCATCAAATTTAATAAGATCACTCAAAATTTAGTAGTTCTCACTAAAATCTTAAACTCTCTTCCTCACGTGACGAAACACGTTTCTTTTTAACGAAATCATGATGAATTTCATCATCAGTCAAAATCCTTGCTCTCACTAAAACGCTCGATTGAAAAAGCACGATAACTCGTTTTCAAACGCCGCTGGCCTCTACGTTGCACGAGTGCGTGCGTTTAAGACGATATTGACTGACAAACAGCGTATGAAAACGTGTTGAAAGATTTGGGTGCGAAATTGTCGCGTTTGATAGCGCGTATCTGTCGAACTGGGGGCGAATTGTCTGGGTTCGAACTTAAAATTGGGCGATTCGTTCGGACACCCAACGTTTTCTTCAGTGAAATGATGGAAAAAGATTTCCAACATCTTTCGATAGCGTGTGGCGCAGGAAAATCTCAGTTTCTCGTGTGGCCACAAACATCGGACCTTCGATTTCGCCGTCGGATGCCCGACGAACTTAGCAGCAGAGGACTCGATGGTGAGCTGGGCGATATATGAGGTTTATCTGTAAAGGAGTTTTATATTCTGCCAGGATAAAGAATGTAAGAGGGGACTTTTTTGGAAATGGTTATGGCCAGATATGTCGCGTAACTGTCCTTTAAAGTAA